AAAAAAACAGATTGAGATAGTTCCCATTCCGCACTAATATGCACATTACTCGATGCTCTATCAGCTTTTATATTTTCGGCCAAAAGGATATAAAACGCTTGCAACCATAATTTCTTTGCTTCGCTCTCGTTCCAAATTTTTCTGGAAAGTTCACTAAGATGCGGGAATTGGACACCTCCCGCATTATTAGTATATGCAATAGCGGTGTTATTATCCAGTCTAAGCAGACCCTCGGCGTGTGATAACCCTGCCGCGAACATTTTATTGCAGAAAAAGCAGCTAATAGCTCAAGATAGTTAATGTGATGTGACCTTTCGTGCTCATCCCAAAAACCAAACGCCTTAGAGTTGCTACAATAACAACCTCAACCTGACAGTGAGGCATCGGAAAATATATTTATGGCATAGAGCTGAGTTCAAATTGGATTGGTTCCAATAACCACTTTTTGTTTCCATCAAGTAAGCTCTTCTAACATTGAGTCTAGAATCGAAATCTTTCCGTCATAATCTCCACCATTGAATTTCAGCGCTAAATATTTTTTGTCGTCCGAGACGTTTGTACTGAATAAGTCCATATGATACTGCTGTACAGGCTAATGCTAAGGTACCTGACAGTTTAGCAAATTTTCTGATGTTACATGCTTTTTTGCGTTTAAGTTCGCTCACCAGTTGTACGATGTGACTTTTCTTTTTGTCTGTTAGATTCAAAGAAAAAATCCCTTGTATTGATAATGAAACCTAAATATTTGCATTTCTGGGTGGTAAGTAATATACTCTTTTGATAGTTTATAATGAAGCTAGATGTTCTAAAAAATACAACAGCCTCCGTCATATTTTTCTCGCATACAATTTCGTTTTATGGATGAAGAGAAAATCATCCAGGTACAGTATCAAAAAACATGCCTTGCTGTCTTACAGTGTTAGTGTATTAACAATAGGTTTCATTAACTTGTTGAAGACGTATGAGTTAGTGCAGAGACCAAAAAAGTCAAGCATAGAAATAGGAACATTTTGCCTCTGAACTTAAATTTAAGAAACTTTCTATAGTCAGCGTGAATGGAAACGAGAAAATATGCATCCCTGAGATCTAGCGTTCCCAAAAAATCCCCTCGTGACACTAAATTAAGTGCAGAACGGATATCCTCCAGTTTGAAATGTGGGGGATTAATAAAGCAATTTAAGCTTTTAAGGTTACGAATAAACCGGTGAGATCCATCAGGTTTGAAGATAAGAAAATAAGAAGAGACGAACTGTCCTTCACATTCTTTGCGAGAGCAAGAATTCTTATCCTCGATGGCGCCCTATCTTAAGAGCTCATCAATTTCTGCATGCATATTTTCTGTTTCCTTCGCCGATAAGTTTCTCACCTTACAAGACCTTTGAAAAGGTGTCCGTAAACGGAATGCGATATTCATTTAGGCAGCTTAAAATATATATGTCAGACCTGATTTGTCACCATTGACTAACAAAGCTGCGAAGACGTCCTGGTGACTTATCTACTCTGAGATGTCTTGGTTGCACCGTGCGATGACTTGCTCGACCTCGGTTTGAACCTGCTTTGGTGACGTCTTTGCTGATAANCCACCTGACGGTATCCCGCAGGTGGATATTTCCTGACAATGTGTTGCTTTTTTTTTTTTGGGGGGGGGGGAGAGGATCTTGTCCCGAATCTCTGTCTCCATACAATCATTCGTTCAAAATGATTGTTTCGACCACTGGTTTGACACTTTTATTCAACTGTGGTGTAATAAAGGATTTCCGTGCTANCGATTGTTGATGAAAAGCATCGGTAAGGATTTGTCCAGCATGGCTTATTAAGTCTGTAAACAAGTCTTCGTCTAAGCCATCTTGAGNAGGCTCTAGTAAGAGAGAGACTGCGGCGCTTAGTGCCGCTATGGCGGTGCGGACGCAATTTTGTGTCTGCACGAAATGCTGATCTCTCTTTTTTGCAATGTTACAGCAGATTTAACTTCAGAGCCTCTATATAGAAATCGCCCTTGCGATCTTTGTGCTGGAAGCCCTTCGTTTTTCCATTTTTCTCCATGTATTTTTTGAAAAAATGTGGAAGAATGAACNAGCAGCACTTAATGTGCATATGTGATATCGACGTTCTTATTGAACTAAAAACACAATGATACTCGTGGTATGTCGTATGGACGTAGGCAAACCGTGTGGGTTAGCCGCTCAACTTTCGTGTGGAAAGAAGAGATTGCACATACATATATGGAGCAAAGGTGCTTACTGTCTTCCTTATGAAGGAGTCGTAAACCCTGGATCATTCTCCTTATTTTCTTTGAAAGAAAAAGCGTGGAAGAATGAACGAGCAGCACTTATTGTGCGTATGTGATATCTACGTTCTTATTGAACTAAGTTCACAAAGATGCTCGCGGCATGTCGTATGGACGTAGGCAAACCGTGTGGGTTAGCCGCTCAACTTTCGTGTGGAAAGAAGAGATTGCAGATACATATATAGAGCAAAGGTGCTTACCTCGAATTTCGGTAAGTAAGGAAGTTGGTGAAGCTTGTCTTATATTACCATGCACCAACGACTCGACAACCTTTGTTAGGTTATGTATTTGTTCCTGCAAATTACTCAGTTCTTTATCGTATCTCCGCTTACAGTAATAACTCTCTCGTGATCGAGATCTCGAGCGCATCCTCTTTTTCTTGTCTGGCAAGTCGACAGTTGTATAACGTAGCGAAAACTTCATCTTTCCGTGGTTTGCGAAAAAAAACGTTTGATTTGTTGGCACAACGAAACAATATGAAGCTGAACGGCGGGAAACGAGGAAGGGTAGCGATCAGAGCGCCACCTTTTTGAAATCCTTTATGCGTTAAACGTTGTGAATTGAGGCATGACAAGCATGACTACATTGTTATCATTGAGAACGAGACATGCAGTATAATTACTTTTTCTTTGAGAAATATATTTTACGAGTTTGTCAGTCACCGGAGTTACTAGAATGTTGTTGATGTGTTCTGAACATAGATTTAGTATTTCAAAAGCGCATTATGGTTACTATTATTATGAGATATAAGTCGAAAAATAAATAATAAACGTTGAGCGTTAGTACCTGTAAAAAATATAGAAGACAGTATAGTCATTACGTACATAGCAGTAATACAATTGTCAAGAGTTTCTTTTAGTAAGAGTCGTTAAAATAAACATATAAAAATTATACTGCACGCAGATGCGTGATAAACAATTTGCAAACAGCGAGAGCGTTTGAGGATAAACAAAAGTAACGTTTAAAAGTTGCAATATGAGTGATAAAGGTACGACAAATAATTAATTTTGCATATTTATAAGATTAATCTAATTCGAATTTTTGTCTGTTTCTCTAAGCTTCACTGACATTCGCCTGAAGCGATTAAAATAAATCATTTTGTATATGAAGACAATAGACAATATTCGTATATCGAATTCGCATTGCCTTTGTTTATTTTCGAATTACAGCAATAAAATTTATAGCGGAATGACGTAAAAGGGCAGAATGATCATTGAGTAAAAAGTAACAGAGGGAACATATCGGTAGTGCGGATAGACAAATCTGGGGACGGATGTACGTCATGAAAACCATTTTGAACGACTATTTTTTGAAAGAGAAAAGGTATCGAGAGAATGCTCAAGCGTACGCTTGACATGTCTGGACCTATTCTGTGTGCAACTTGTGCAACAAACCATAGAAATTATTATAAATGAAAAAGTGTTGTATCGCAAACCATAAGAAGTTATGTACGGTCAAGCTTGTGGTGTGACAGCAGGAACTATTTCGATCACCAAAACTTATACAAAAGAACTATAAAAAAAGGAAAATGTAATACATATAATGGTGGAAGTTTTGCATGTAATCAAATGTGAAAAATTGCAGAGTCATATACCAGACAATTACCCATTAGAAAATCATGTAAAGTTATTGTTAAAATTTATCTCTGCAAATTATCTTAATGTAAGAATTAGATACGTATGTAACAATATGAGCCCAAGTGATACAGTGCGAAACTTTTATACAAAACTTATACTATTTTAAGGACAATAAATTGTGTGATAACAGAATTTAACATTATTTATTTAATATTACTTACAATGTTGACTTTCAATATTTGATATTTATTGTTGCACATTAAAATTATTTGTTTTTCAACTATATCTTTGTCTAATAATTGTAGTAAATTTTGGGCGCCACTATTGATAACATATGTCAAGGACAATGATCTCCGAATATGCTCCGTTTTTATCCATATTTACCCCATTTTTTTCCCAAAGAAGCATATAATATAATGTTTATACTCTTTCTTGCAATTTACAGTCTCGAAACATATGTAATAATATTCATAATAGTAAAACATTTCAAGATGCGTTATATACTGTTATTAATGATAAATAGGAGTTACTTGTAATAATTCGCACTTCTTGGAATACTAAAAAACATTTAATACATATAAAGTATATTAAAGTAATTGATTCATATATTATATTATATAAATATATTAATTTATTACTTCATATAAAATATAAATTAAATACCGTAAGATTATGTATTTATAATATGTAAATTCTTTTTGTAATTTATAAACTAAAAACATATACAAGTGTAAACTAATAATTAATATATATTATGTATATATATGTATTAGATGTTGTTGTTCATTAGATGATGAATATTCTAAAAAAGCTTTCGAATTGTGAAATTTATCTTATATTATCTTATATTATAATAATTAATAGAAAACTGCATTCTAATGTGTTTTAATATTATTAATAATATTATGTACTTTTTTTTAAGACTAAAAATGTAGAGAAAGCACTTCACATTGTCATACGTAACAAACGCGCAACGTAAACGTGTTTCGTGTTTCGTCTTATAGACTCACAGCTGGCTTGGTGTAAAACAGACGAAACATAGTATTTTTCTGCGAGCGCACACGGACGGCGGTTCTCGCTTGTATACATACCTTTACCACCTCGGTGCTCTCGGTACTGGCAGGGCTGCTCGATCTTTCTCAACATGACGCTTGAACTTGTGTACATAGCACGAAATAGAACTGCACGGTCGTGGACATAGAACGGAATAAAATCATGTCCACGTTTGTACATAGCGTACGTATTTGTATTGACAGACCGCTCGTAGACATTGCTACTGTGCATCACCCATGGAGATGCGCTAGCTTAAAGGGCGGAAGAGCGATTCCAAAAACTCTTATGGGCCCTCTACTGCACTCAGGCTACTCTCTAGTACTACTAAGACATCATGATATTCTTTCAAAGATCAGTCAAGGTATACACATTCTTGTAGTCATGTGGCTCATCAAAAATACGTACCCCATGATACTTTCAGATTCACTCATGATTGCACCGATATCCTTACGGTACTTTTTGACACGCTCATAGTTACACAGAAACATACCTATGATAGTTCGTGCCTTCTCCATAGTTGTTACAATACACCCATGATATCAACACAAGAACACCATAGGTGCAGAGTGAAACACCCATCAAACATAGGTGTTCACCGATGGAAGTTCGATAACACCTATGGTGGTTGTTTGAGCAGAGATATAAGCGATATATTAAAATATATATGATATCTATAAAAATAGACAAATTAGAGAATTTGTCTTGTATATAGTACCAGTATAACTACGTATAAACAACACACACACACAACATACATCTTACTATTTCACGCATGTCTGACAGAAATGCAAAATTTCGAAGAAAACCAAAATGAAAAGCTTGGAACAAATAAAAAGCATTTTGTAAGAAGCAAAAAAAGCAAAATTACATCAAATATATGCCAACACATTGAGTAAAAAGTGTAAATGACTTCGTCATTATTTTACGTTCCTATTATTTAGTTGCACAAAAAAAACATAGTGTTTTTTTCTTAGATAATTTTCTTATTTGCTCACGCGTAAAGTAAAGTATGGTGTAACTTTCTGTTTCGATTCTGTTACTTCTTTTCCTGAATAATCAATTTTCCAAATGTGAAATAATTGTACAGGCCGGAACACATGGTACTTTTGCATACTGCATAAAAGAATCAACGAATCAGAATTTTCAAGAACAAGATATAAAAGCGGAAGACTCCGAAGGGCCTTCTACAATAAGATATTAATAATAAATCAGAAGTCAGAAGCACAAGAAATTGACTAATCATCATCGATTATTCTTCTGTGATTTTACTGTGTCAATTTCTTGCTTCTGACTTCTGATTTATTACTAATATCTTATTGTAGAAGGCCCTTGACTCATTTTCTTATACGTTGTGCAGTATGCAAAAAATCGTACTTCGGCCGTAAGAATAATTACAATAGGATAGTCGCTCTCTGGCTTATCTCCGCTAAAAATTGTGTTACATTACTTGCTCAAACTAACTACTAACGTAATTACATCGTCGCTTCTAATTGATACTGCTTACAAATATGAATCAAACCGATAAATATACGAAAACCAATTGCGATTGTGATGAACATCTAAAGATCGTTGTTTTACGAAGGTCGCGAAACGCAAATGCATATAAATGTGTCTACGCGTAAACTTATGAAAATTAAGTGCATAGTTTAAAAAACTAAGGAAACATTAAAAAACACTAAAACAATTTTAGTGAAAATTATATTTTTATTAGAACTAATTAGAATATCTGATTTTGGAACAAACATAATAAATTCTACCTTAACATTTATCATTTAACATTTTACACATATATTGATGATTAATTAACATATATTCTCACACATAATACTGAATGGTATTTTGTATATATATATATATATATATATAATATCAAGTTTTCTCTTACATTGTATTAATTCTTATATTTAGATACTTTGATTTTATTTAATGTGATTAATATATTTATATTAATGTGGGCAAAACTTAAATATACATATACGTAGAAACCGGAGCGTAATATAAATAATGTATATAATTGAAGAAACAAATTTATTTTATGATTAACTTATTGCAAACTATTAAATATTAAAATCCGAAACATATTTTTCCGATTTTAGTTATAATTAATAAGTCTATTTTGTTATCATAAAATAAATCTTATTTAAACAAAAAAACAAGATTTGGTCACAACAAATCGGTAAATTTCTTAAATTAAAAATTTTTGTTTAAATACAAAAAGTACATTATCTTAAAAAAAGCTTATTTACTCGTGTGTTTGTAATTAAACATATACTGGGGATTTAAACGAAGTATATTTTGCATTGTATCTAGAAAATTACGACGATATTTAGCTTTTTTTCTAATGGCATCAAGAGCAAATGGTTCCTAAAACAGAGTACAAAATATATGTATAATAAAATCCTGTGTAATTGTGACTAAATTTTATAAGAGGTACGAGATATATTTTTAATAAAAATAACAAACATCTAATAATTTACATATAAACAGTAAGTTGTATCTGAAGAAACAGAAAGAGTTACGCACAAATCCAAAACAATATTAAAATAATATTTTAAATAATGTATAAATACGTTTACCAGTTGATGTATATGCAGCAGTGTATTCAAGAACATTTCGTCAGTAATCTAGAAAAAAATCATGTACCTATCATGACGTTGTGTGATTTACTTACATTGTGTAACACCATTCAATATTATAAAGTTATTCTTTTGTTATACAAGAAGCACTTACGAAACTAGACCACAATACAACTCGACGCAAATAAATATACATATACATATATTAAACTTACAAAGAAATTCTATTTGACAT